TCTAATGAGGCCAAAGTTGTGCCATGGCCGGCATGGCTGCAATGGCTCCACGTTCGAGAATCCTGTTGAATTGGTGACTGCCTTGCAGGTCATCTTTAGCGGTGCAGGAGGAGTGGCACCACAACTGCATACTGCCGCCAGGGCAGCAAGGAGTAAAGCAAACTGGGCAGTGCAGCGCTCGAGCTTTTGAGTGTCTTGCGGAATCTCAGGAAATGGACATCTCGCCAGGAGCGCCGACAACGGCAGGCGTGTTTCCCGAAAGCACCTCTCAACCATGAGGAGACCAATCACTTTTGACACAGCACAACAGCTCAACATGCCCAGGTATTGACTATTCAAGTCTATTCCCAAATGGGGATGGCTCACCAATGGGTGAGGATTGGGAACCACAGCTTAAGCAGATTGTGAGGCCCATCAACGGCTTGAGAGGATGCTTCACAAGAAGCCAGATTGGCAGATGGGAGGCGCGGCCCTCAAACAACACCTCACAAGAAATCCACCATTGGGTGGCTGTGAGGAGCCTTAAAGAATCTTAAAGATGTTCAAAACATGGGAACAATACAGTAACTACTGTACAAGACAAGTGGGATGTTGATGGATGTTGTGCTTTTGGGCAAGAGGAGCCTTCTTCATTGCTTGATGGCTGCAGTTGCTGGAGCTGTGGGTCAGACACGAGTCGGTTTGGGATCGGAGGCTTAACACGGATAGCAACTTCAGATACGATCGCGACTCCTCCAGACCTCAGCGAGGTGCGGTAGACGGGTGAGAAGAGCTGGGGCGATAAGGGTCCTCAGAACCTGCTTGGACAGAGACCGGACACCTGACCAAAAGCGTTCTGGTGGAGCAAAAAGGAAGAACGAATCAAGATAATTTGTGAACACATTGTAGTTCACCTTGCATCCTTGAACATTTCAAGGTTTAGGGTTTAGGGTGCTTCTCCCTCCTCATGTATCATGCACTTGACCGTTCGCTTTCTTGCGTGCTGGGAGGTGGTGCAACTTACACCGACTCCGACCCCAAAGGCCGCATAACTGCAGTGCCGAGACAGGGAAGGTTTCTGCAAAGCACGTGAGGTCACATGATTCATATTGATTCATCGATAAGTGTACTAGTGTAGTATACAAAGAGCTCCCGAAAGAAAAGCAGGGGATGACAACGGGAAAGATTGTATTTGCCTTGTTTCATGTTCTTATTCTTTTTTGACCTCTTCATAACTTCTTATGCACGGCAACCAGGTGGCACCTGAAGCCACTTTGACCGAGAGGACCACCGAACACGACTTCCAGGCGTCAAAGGAGGCTGGAGGGCGGCAGACGACAAGAAAGCTGGTTTCTGGTTTCTGGAACGTGTAAAGCGAAGACAGGGAGGACAAGAGATCAGAAGCAGAGATGGCACTTTGCCACTTCTTGGCAGGATCTCATTTTCAATACAAGCCATCAAATTGAATCAGATATGTCCTGAGATGCTGGTGTGCTAGTGATGGCTGGAGGGGATTGTTCAGGCTCCGCTCGCAGTGGAAGACCGATGGGTTTGGTACCCAGCCCCTTGACTCAAATAGACGTTTGAGCGCACAAAAGCAGCCCTGGCCACAGCCACCGGAAAACTCTGGGCTAAGGCGGTAAACCCACCGAACTGGCGTAGAACTTGTGCCTTGGATGTGAGTGGTAATTAGTATGAATACAATTGAATACAAACTCTCTTCGCATAGAAGTGGCAGAGAATTAGGTAGATCCACTGCACTTCGTTGTGCTTTACAGTTTTGAAGCGATGCTGCACCATTCAGGGCATTCCCAGAGGTTAAACATGGTTCAACTACTTGCAGTTTTGCATTGAGGCTTCCTTCTTCTTGACGACTCGAGCCACTCCATTCTAGGACACATCTTCGCGCCGCTACGCGGTTGGGTCCGCCCGCACCGGGAGAAATGTCATAGAGACCGGGGCGCTTTGGCATACACCGTGTTACACGGCATCCCTGTGGTTTGGAAACCAACATCCATGAAGGGCTATCTGCTGAACCCAGCTACAGTCTTTCAACTATTTTGCTGTTTTCTTTGCTTTCCTAGTTTGCCGTGGTGCAGTATAGTTGTACTGGTGTCCCACCTTCCCGGCTCTACCTGGCTAATACGAAACCCTAGCCAGCTAGAGCCGTACCATGAAACCGCTGATGTTTGTATAATATGCTGGTTCTACCTGGCTACTTTTACTAAATCTTCAAAAACCCAACGTTTCTTATACTTTTTCAAGAACGCCTCAACAATGTGCGTGTCCCAAAACCTTCATCAGAATCAAATGCCGTTATTTACGACATTTTTTGCACTCGATTTTCAACAATCTTCAAACACTCAGGTATCTTTTCTGAATGTAGGCCCCCAGCTAAAGCTGAAATCTTGCGATTGACATCGATTGACTATGCCATCCTGATACGCACGCTTCGGTGTGGGCGGACTTTTCACGTTCTCAGGCTATTTAGAGTGGCAACCAAGCTTTGAGATCTTTGAGAGTGCACAGATGTATACAGATGTCATTTTGTGGTGAGTGTCTTCCGCTTGTGTGGAAAATTGTGAATGGTCAGAGAGTCACACGCGTCCAGGACGGATCATCTCCGGCTTTATGGTGGCCACAATCATGGTGAGCACAGTGTGAATCCTAACTGATTCTAGAATCCGGTGCTTTTTGCTTGTTCTGCGGGAAGAGGAGCCGGGCCATGGATGCCCCACCAAGGTCTCCTTTGTGATTGAGACTCTGCCGTTCTTCGACCGCAAATGTGAGAGGTTTGAATTTGACATACTATTCATCATTAAAATTGTGCACCGACCAACGCAAGCGGCACTGTTCAGGCGAAGTTGAGCAGTTTTTTTCGAGCATGTTTGAGGGGTGGCGTATAATTAGGACACATTCCAGACATCGGCCAGGGGGCTTTTTCTGTCACCTTCGTTCCCGGTTGCTCAACGGCAGTGACCAAGCCTGCTGGAGCCATTCCACGGCCCAGGTTTTTGCAAGAACGACCTACGCTTTGCCAAGAGTTGCTCAGTGCTGGTGAAGAGCTCACGGTGAAAGCCTGCGAGCCGGTACGGCGCTGAGCTGATCAGAAAAGAGTTGTTGAAGATCAGAGCGTATTGGGTGTTTCTTTTGAGTCCATGTATGTGTATATATATATATATTACATATAGCTATATACTAGATTAACACACACATACATAATATTACATATATATATGTATACTAACACCCACAGAATCGATCAGTGCCATTGCGCCTTGAGTCATTATTTACTATTGCCACCCCATCAGTTTCCTTGGCTCCAATTTGGTTCCAGGACATTTCCAGCTTGCTGCTTACTTTTTGCAATTTTCACATTCGCCCTTCCCTTCCGGTCACTTTGTCCTCCCTCCCTTTCTTCCCTGGCTTTACTACTACTTCAGGATTGGTCTAGGGGGGCCAGTCTCATGTCGATGACCACTGGAATACATTTGCTACCCACCACTTCCCAGCGGACAGGGGTCCCACTTGTTCTCTCATTTCCCAGGAAATCTCTAGTTTGTTGCGTTCTTTTTGCAATTTCCTGAAGGGGTGGAGCCAAGCTGGAATTTCTACATAAAGCATCATAAAGGTCATTCAATGTGATTCATATTGTTTTGTTTCTGTCTCAGCAGCTCTTTTGCTTTAATTTGGCTTGTCATCCTTTGTGTTGTTGAAGCTCTTCGAGCAATGGATTTCAGCCATTCCCGTGTTGCACTGGCCTTTCACTTTCACAAGTAAAGACATTCTGCGCATGTTCATGTTTGTTCCCTTTTTGCTGGTGTTTGATGCTTGGCCCCCAGGAAAACAACTTTCAACCATCGCAGCGTTCATTTCCTGTTTTGTGGTGTCCTTTGGCTTTCTGAAGGACGGTCTTGAACCCTTAAAAATTGTTTTGTACACAACTGCCCTCATGGCCCTGTGCCTTTTGTGTCCCTTCCACAGATGTGTTCTTGAATGTGGGGGTCTTTTTCTTCCACATACTTGTTTTTTCAGAGCTTCTTGAATGCGAGTGTTTCCCGGATATTTAGGTGTATTGTGCAAAACAAGGTTGCCACAGACATTGAACGCCATTCATTCCATTGATGGTTGGAATAGTGGGGAAGAGGTGTGGAAGATTCTCCGAGCTGGTCAAGCGTGGCCTGCTCGTGTTCAGCCCAGGCACCATTGCTAATATTCTCTACCCTGGAGGCGATTTGCATTGAGCCTTGGCGCATACAATGGCAAAAGAAGGCAACCTGTTTAGTTCCAACCAGCTGGTGACGGGTGTAGCCGTTGAGGCCATTTTCACAGTTGAGTATTGTTTGCGACTAGCACTGTGCCACACTGATCCACGCTATGGGAGCAGCTTTCTTTCGCGAACGTTCCACTATGCTGCGACTTGGCAAGCACGGAAGTCAAGATGCAACAAGGATTTGCAGCCTCAACTTTATTGGCATGTTTTGCATTGTTCCCACAGATGAACATGCTCAGATTCAGCCTTTGAACGTCGTAGACGTCATTGCTGTCCTTCCATTCTACCTGAAGCTGGCGCTGGAATTCAGTGAAATCGGAGTCTTCGGCAGCTAGTTTGCAAGAAAGGAAGCCCCTAGGAGAGGCGCAGGAAAGACGCCAACAAATCCGAAAAGGTTCGTGGCACCGCACGTTATTCTTCACATGAATCTCATTTCCGAAGGGGCTTCCTTCTGCATCATATTTGCATGTGCAAACATTTGACACATTTTTCATTCTAAATCAATCCGGCTGAAAATCAAAGCCACCCTTCAGATTCAGAAATGGCAGCATCAGGCTGGCATGTTCAACTAGAGGCTAGAGGTCATTGGCTTGTTTGTAACTTTGCTCATTGTAAGGCATGCTGAGATTGATGCGAGTATGCCGATTGCTGAAGCTGGCGAAGCACCATCAAGGCAGATCTCTCATCACCATCCCACTTGCAATGAAAGAATTGAACCAGAATATGTTTCCTTACCAAGTGTTTTGAAACACTTGGTATGGTGCAGACTTCTCAGGCATCATGGTTTGCATTTGCCTCAGCTGTTTTCCTGCACAGTTGAAGAGGACCTAAGCTTTTGGGTTTCAATGCCAGATGACTTTATCAACTGAGGGTTGCGCAAGCTACTAAGGTTGGGAGGCACTTGTAAACAGCGGCATAACCCTGGCATTGCTCTTCTTCTATGAGGTTCTATTTGGCAACCTGGCCCATGTATCATTTTGTCACATGCCAAAACCCTGCTAGGCCGCACTCGAACAAAATGCAAGCGCCCACGCTGGCGTTGGTACGGGCATGTACTGGCTGCCATGGTTTGATGCAGAGCCCATCTTATGCATTTTCCTGCACACCAAGGTATAATTTTTGCCACTATTTTGCACACTCTGGAAGGCAAGGCTTTCTCTCTTCGGTGTCGCTAAATATTTGCGGCCGCTGTGACAGCAGTTGAAACCTGTGAAGGCAGCAAATACTCCGTAGCTGAAGAATTCACTGAGCCGTACATGGACTTGGTGACCGGTCTCGAGCTCAAAGGTGAATTCACTGCATGAAGAGGCGTTGGGAGATGGACTCAGATGGTGTTGAGGCAAAAATATGCCGCCAAGATACCCCACAGGCAGAGTGGAGTTCGACAGCGGCTTCGATCCTCCTCACATTAACTGTAATTGCTTGCGGTCACGTGATGTGCTATTGAAATCACTGTATATAGGTAAGTGTTCAATCTACGCAAAAGCTAGCCCGTGCATCTCTGCATGACTCAGAAGCCAAGACTTGCGAGCAATTCCTTCACACGGCGCGCAAAAGCGACAAAGGTATCAGACATGTCAAAACGATACTTTGCATGTGCAGTTGTTTATCTATTGAAGGTCAGTTCCACGACATTTCCACATGATCCAGAAAGCAGCAACGCAGGTGTGTTTGTGCGACGGAATTTGTGGGACACTGGAGATGAGCCGACTCCTTTCTACTCGATCCCAGCAGCTCTATGGCCCCTTTTCGGCATCTTATTCCGAATAATCAGGATGTCAAGGACAGCTCAACAAGAAAGCAGAATTGCACGGCAATGTGCAATTCCAATATTAAAATCTAGAATCTATATCTATACATTCTCATATTGTACCAAGGTGGGTGTTCACAACCACAACAACTGTTGGCTATGGTGACTTTGCACCAACAACCACCATGGGTCAATGCCTGGGCCCCTTGGCCTAGCAAGCAGCTTGGATAGCTTGGGGCTTGGGGAGCCTTTCCTGGACTTTGGCAATTCACAGCCCTGGCGAAGGTGTTCTTGTTTTCTACTTTGGCATCATCCTTTTGGCCTTGCCCATAGGCAGCCCATGATCATCAAAGCAACGAAAAGCTGAGACTTCCCAAAAGTTGCAGTTGCTTGGCCCGTGGCCTGGATGGTCCTTACTGATCCTGAATGGGAGGCGTTGTGAGCCAAAACTTTGAGTGCGCATATGAGAGAGCCCACCAGGCAGGGTCGGCAGGAATACATGTGTACTGTATATATGATTGATGCATAGCCAACTGCATAAAACAAATATCAAAAAGGAAGGTAAGGCCCATCCTCACCTTCCTATTCTCATCTCCCTGTTCCTTGTTTTATTACATACCTCATGTTATGCTGGTATACGGGCTGAGTGACTTCACTGGGCTCGTGTTTTGACTTCCTTGACGGCACCCTTGTCACAGGGCACACGCCGGAGACGAATGACATCCCTCATTTCCGCAAAGACTCGGACAATGATGTCTAACGCGAGACTCAGCTCAACGTGCGCGAAAGCTGCAATGCTCGGCAGTCGACAGCTGTTTGAAGAACCGCCGTGCTGAGGCGCCATGGACATGTGCTGACCAACCGCCCAGTTGCACCTCACCTGGCTCCGGAGCAGAAGGGAGGAATAAGACACGCGACCGCATTGAGCACGTTTCCAAAGGTCACCAGGTCACCATGAAATGGCAATGACTGGTCAATGAATATCAATGACCACATTTGTGTCCCTCTTATGGACTTTGGCGGTGGCGCGTGAGGCAGATGGATATTCACAGCCACTTAGTGAGCAGTACAGACCATGCCAACGCCCAATTGCAGTTGGCGAAAGTCAATGGAGGGCCAGCATGAGTCGATTCGGCCAACAAGAACTGGTTTACACTTTGCACACCTGAACATTCGGCCTCACGTGGCTCAGGGCTTTGTGCCTTCAAAGTTGAGTTTCTTCTACTAGCAGCGATGCCCTTTGCTCCTAGTAACTCCCTTTTGCTCCTAATGGTGATGAGGGACCGGTGTTTTGGGGGTGAGAATTTGCAAGCACAAGAGGCTAGCGATGTCACGGTCAGCATGTATTTGACCAGATGAGCCCAGGTGATGAATGATCCAAACTCCAGCATCATTGCCATGGGTTTATCCTACATCAGCTTCGGTTTGATCATCGTGACAACCTTCTCCCTGATTTTGGAGCCTTTGCTGCAGCCACATTGACCTTGCTGCTACGCTACATGCATTCTCCAATTGTGCCTTTGTAACAATTTGGATGGAGCGAAAGTCCTTCTGCGCATCCGTGACACGAGGGAACCAAGGAGTCTATGCCGGTGTTCAACTACACTCCAGCTGGGTGTGGAGCGGTTGAGCTGAGCACCTGGGGTAGCAAGTGCATGTTCTCCTTTGTGCCCAATGCAAGCTGTCTAGTCTAGAAGGCATGTCAGGTGGAGGGCCGATAGAAGGCGTTTGTGTGTGTAGTGGCGGTCAAAGGAGTTCGCAGCTGGTGATTTGAGGTGTTGAGCTTTGTAAGCCAGAGCCAGACCCTGCCTTTGAAGCAATAGAAGTCACAGGAAGCATGGCAGCATCGAAGAAGAATGGAAGTGGAGGCAAATTGACTGGGATGATGTTTTCTGTTGCTGACACCAAGGAAGTGTTTTCTTCACCGTTGAATATGCTCCTCGCCTGCTATTCGAAAGCCTTTTGCCCTGATCCAGCCCACTTGACCTCCTGAGATGCTTGAGCATGGGCTGTTGGTTTGACCCTGCTCATTACAAGGTACATTTGTACTGTATGCAGATGCCCATGCTAAGTATGAGAGAGAGATAACATATACCGTAGTAGTTCGACATTTACATGACACTTTACAAATGATCGAGCCAAGAAGAGCCCCCGTCAAGATTCTAAGAAATGCATAGAAATTGATGTTTATTCAAGAAACTGCTGGAGCAGTTGCAGTTAGACACATTGATTAATGCTTTGAGAAGATCATGGCATGCGCCCATGGACAAATTGTAGCTGCATCCAAGGCGCTGCGAATCATTTTTGCACATTCTGCGTCAGAAGAAGAGCTGGGATTGACTGTAGCTCCTTGCGTGGCACAGATGAAAGATGAAACGGAAGGAACACCTGCTTTGATCACAGAAGTCTGGAAGCTAAACCATTCAAAGCGGGAGTGCTGATCGCGCTGTGGCCCAAGGTGGCGGACGCCAAGCCATTGCCGGGCTGGAAGAAGACTTTGAGGTGGGCCCATTGTGTTGGTAACATTAAGGATCATTGAAGAGGCATTTGATCATTGGCAAAGTGTAATGAGAACTTAACATACAATGTTCGCTACTAGGAACAAGTGCATCGCTACTAGTAACAAGTGCCTTACTAGTAGTAACAAGTGCCTTACTAGTAGTAACAAGTGCCCTACTAGTAGTAACAATGTTTGCAATTATATAGAAACTGAACATCATTATACTTGGTCGATTGGACTGGGACCCGGGAGAAGCGATCCAAGTGAACACTGCCGACGAGTCGACGCGTCAGGTACGCTTTGCAGCCATTGAATGTCATTGACATTATGGCGATAGCTGCTTGGCTGAAAGGATGAGACGATGTTTTCATATTCATTCATTGGTGTTCCTGAGCAATGCATATCCCAGGTGCCGTTCTACCTCGAGTTCATTGGCCTTGGAGGCAGCAAACCTCCCTGCCAGAAACAAATTCCCTTTCATCCTGTTGATGTTGAGAAGATAGAGTAGCCGCGGCATTCTGCCTTGTCCTTATTGAAACGACAGGTAGTGGCGCAGCTGTGCTGCGGGTGTTACGGCTGGTTCGCATCTTCCGCGTGCTGCCGCTCGGATCAAGTTGCTTGAGGTCATGTAGTTGGTTTGGCCAATGACATCGCTGAAGCATAGGTGACCATCACCTACTCAGGAAAGAACAGTAATCACTCGACTAGGGTGCTTCGGTGAGAGAAACGATTGAAACATGGCAAGTTAAAGCAGCTCAGGAAATCACCAAAGATGCGTGCATGAGACTTGCTCCAATTATTGCCTTTCATGGGTTCAGCGCTCTTGTTCTTCTCATGCAGTTTTGGTCGCGCTTGCGCCCAAGGTGTCGACATGATTCTTTGCATTGTGCCCTGCTTCAATCACTGGAGTTGTCACAGCCCGTTTTTCGTTTTTCAGCCATGTCATCGGTCAAGATGACTTAAGGTCTTGGAGGCCCTCCCGGGGATCGTCTCAGTCTTCTCGCTGACTTGCCCCTTGACCCCAACTCCCATCTGAGAGAACTGAAGCACTAGTCACTGGACTCACTAGATCATTCACTCGCTGTGAAAGACTTACTGTCGCCAAGGCTTGGTTTGCATCATGTTTGCTGCTTGCATGTTCTTCGCAGAAGGTGGGCTGCCGATGACGTGTCCTTGTCTACTTGCATACATTCTCACCGTTGTGTAAGGGATTGGCAACACATACTTTGGCAGCACCGCCTCCAAAAATCTAGCAGCAACACCACTGCAGGGACCACGTACTCTGTTGATCCCAGCATGGTGGATTTGACGACGTACCCGATGGGCACGTCACTCTGCTGCAGAAAGACCAGAGACGGAAGTTAAGACCCTCAGCGAGACCGATTTGATGGCTCCATCATGGCGAGGTACATTCGGCCAACAAAAGATGGAAATGATTGGGAGCCAACACCTTTCCTGTCCATTATGCACACTTTTTGGTGGCTCCTTGTCTCATAATTATTGCATATCTTGTCATTCCTTTTTTTTCCAGCAGCTGGCGTGCGCGTATTCAATCCGAGACTGAACTGGACATTGACTTAGGTTCTTCACAACTGCCACAACTGTGGGCTATGGCGACTATGTCCCAACGACGACGGCCGGAAAACTTGTGGCAGTATTTACCTTTTACCTTGGCATAGCGACTTGGTTATCAGATTGCCTGTGGGGGGGCAGGTGCAGCGATGTGGTGTAGGATGAACGAAAGACTTCAATGCGTGCTATGTCGTCGCCAGCGTTTGCAAAGATGTGCCGCCAAGCAGAAATGGCATCCAAATCATACCTATATTTATACTGAACATATAAACAAGTTAACGGTTAACGTAAATACGGAATATACACATGTTCAGAACGCAAAGTCCGGAGGGGTGCATGATGCAGTGATGCCTCTTCTTCCTTTACTGGGTGACTTGCTCATGTCTTGGGCGGGGCAGACAACACAGCGGGCTGCTACGTGTTCGCTCGATCATGCCCAATGACGCTAGTGACCTTTCTTCCCTTCCTTTTTTTGAATCTTTGTTTCTACTAGCGATGGCCTCCAACCTAACGGCGATGGTAGCGATGGCCTCCAACCTAGTAGCGATGGCCTCCAACCTGATAGCGATGGCATCCAAGCTAATAGCGATGGCCTCCAACCCAGTAGCCATGGCCTCCCCTAATGTCGATGGTAGCTATGGCCTCCAACCTAGTAGCCATGGCCTCCCCTAACGGCGATGGTAACGATGGCCTCCAAGCGATGGCCTCCAACCTGATAGCGATAGCATCCAACCTAATAGCGATGGCCTCCAACCTAGTAGCGATGGCCTCCCCCCTAATAGCGATGGCATCCAACCTTGTAGCGATGGCCTTCCTAGTAGCGATCGTCCTCAACCCAGTAGCGATGGCCTTCAACCTAGTCCTCCAACCTAGTAGCGATGGCCTCCAACCTAGTAGCGATGGCGATGCCTGTAGCGATGGCCTCAAACCTATTTGCGAGCCGCTAGTGGAAGTACAAATATATACCCCTTCCCAGACCACGAGTAGAGCGCTGGCAAAGCGAGGTTTTGGTGGCAATCAAGCTTACCATTGTGCAAGGGTCGTTTAGGAGGCACTACCCGCCCCTTGGCAACAAAAACTCTACTTCCTTGGAGTCACTTTTTGATGTGTGCTCTTGCTGGTGTGTGCAGACGAGACGCAGGCATTCGCCACAAGAGACCGTGGAACTAAGGGAATGGCAAAAATCTCACAGTATTTAACGTTGCGGCACTTCTTGGGGAAGACGGACATTCATTGCAATGCCCGGAGGCTTAGAGAGCCTTGGCAGCCGTGGTATGTATAGACACAAAAGCTCTTTGAATTGTTCTGAGGTCTGAAGGACGTGGCAGTCCGAAGGAATAGACATGTGCTCAGTGAGATGTGAAGAGATCTTTGGAAGTGCAGCAGCCAGCCTGGGCCTGGCTGCGCTCGCTTTTTGTTCAGGAAGCTTTTGTTCCTTTGGCTAGGGTTGCCGACATGTTCTGGCACGCTGTGCTGCCATACCCGGCCATGCCTTGTGATTGCTACTTACTTCAACAGCCACAAGGATAAATATTAAGCCGTAGGCCACAAGCATCCACAAGCCGTACAAGACATGGTACAATAATCATGAACTGCCTTGAGAATGGGCAGCAAGAATCCAGGGTGCTTTCAATTGCTTTCTTTTGCACGAGCAGGCATGAATAGACTGGGAAGCCCAAGGCTTTCCCAAAATTCAATACAGTTGACAGCCTGTTTTGCGGTCTCATTCAATGGACTTTGAGTTTGCACCGAGAATGCAATTCCCACTCAGGCATCTAGTGTTTGTTCAGGATAGTCTTCTCAAACTCTTTGTCACTCTTCTGTTCTGCTCCCAGGATGCAGGCCAGGCCCTCCAAAAGGAGGGTTTCCCGTTTGCATGAAAATGTCCAGGCATGTAAAAAGGGTGATTCGTCGGCAGAGCAATTTGTCACACCTCGAGCAAGTCAGCAAGTCATGCCGATGCCGTGTTTGTGTCATTTAGTTCGCCTATGTAAGAAGCACTTTTCCTCCAATGCCGCAGCCAATGCTTTGTGGTCTGAGTTCAACATTGGCGTATATTTTGTATAATTAGTTCTCCGCGAGGTGCTAGAAGTGCTACGGACCGCACGCTATCCTGCGCGATGCCTCAGACAAAGGCGATCAAATATTATTTGCTGGCGACGTCGTTAACGACCCCGCTGTTTTTGAGGGTTTGCACACGCTTTCGTGCGGTATTTGCTGCACTTTGTAGTTTTGTGTGGTATTTGATATGTGCAGCTATTCTTGACGTTTGTGTCCCTCATGCACATCATAGCATGTGGGGTGGGGTGGGGTTGGGATGTTAACGGCCTTTCTACGCTACGCACACAATACGATTGACTGAGAGTGAGTGGGATGGGGTGGGGTGGGGTGGGTGGGATGTTAATGTTCGGTTCAAATTGCACACCCGTGCAAAGGAAACTCTTCTGCACTCTGCGCACAAATATGTATACACGAAGCGTGCCGTGTTGCGCGCACATGTTTTCTTGCACACATGCGTGTTTCAAACCCGTCTGGATGTTTGTCATATCTATCCTTAGATTTTATAAGTCTTCTATGGCCATGCGTGGATAAACATGCAGCAAGGATAATCTGGGATCCCACATCATCAACGCCCATCCAGCGTGCCATTTCAAATCTTTTGGCCAATCCTTAACACGCCTCGCTGAGATGTGTTTTTTCGTCGTTGCTCCGGACACAGTTTTGTTGCTCGGATGGCGGATTTTTCCTTTGTTTCCGCTTTAGCTTTGGCTTTCGTTGTGTTGTTGAGGTTAGGACAGGGGTGGATCAGCTCCCCGAATCATTGCAACCATGGTTTGAGGTAGACCCGTGGTATCTTGATAGCTTGTTGAAAACCTGGAGTGAAAGTTCCACCGCTGACCCGCTGCTTCGTGAAGTGCTGGATATAGCTCTGCAACAATTTATATATATGTTGGTGACCATTTGTTTTTTCGGGCCGAAACATTTTACGCAATGGAATTCTTACAAAATTGTTCGTTCTCCTGCAAATTACAGTCGAAACGTAGTTCGCAAACCATTAATTAAACATCGTTTTCGTTGAGTTTTCATGTTTGGAATGCTAAAAGACAGCAGGGTCATTAAATGTGTGTGCACTGTAGGGTGAAAAATGGTGAAAAGATAGAATGAATCGAACTTCCAATTACCGACTAGTAGATGGATACTGCCTTCAAAGCGGCATAATTATCGGCATACACGTGTAGATTCTTTGGGGTGACACCGAATTCATCTTTTATTTCCTTGTCCAAGGCATTGCTAGAAGTCAAGTGGACGCTCACAGAGGCACGTCTTCTTTGTGGGGCGCGGTCGGAGCGAATGTGGCAATGGGGACCATATCTCAGCCATAACAGCAATTTCCAGTTTGGTGCGGATATGTGCGGATGATTGTGCCAGGCCGATGCTTACACGCTCTCCTCATCTTCCGATGCCGCGGAGGCTGGAACACAGATGGACTAGAACAGCAGTCCTCACGCTGATAAGCTCAGCTAGCAGCTGATGGAACTCAGGCCATCGCCAGCGGGCAAGCAATCCTGCGAGCTTCTGAGTGCACGACTCTTGCGTTGACATTGAGATACATAAGATACATACTGAAGACCAAGAGCCACTTTGACGGTGAAGTGCCAAGTTTGACGCCATAGTCAAGCCACAATGTACAAGGTACTGGTCTTCACCCAAGGTTTAAAGTTACTTAAGTTCCTCCAGAATCTAGGAACCAAATGAATAGTGCAGGGGCCTTTTCAAGGAAGCTCCCCGCGCCCTCACGCGGCAGCACCTTCCTTGAAGAAGCATGAATTTTCCTGCGTCCTGGGTAGTAGCTACTTAAGCTTACTAGCTTACTTAAGCCTACCGCGACCTACCCCCCCCACCGGGGTCTAGAAAAAGTCTTAGTTTTATCAAAATCGAACATGACGTTGAAGTCTTCACCAATCGAATAGACTTGCAGGTCCTGTAGCTCGGCCCAGGAGGCTGAGACCTTGGTGGTCTTGGCCTCGAAGGACGATTTCGTGACTTCAATTTGCTCAGATTTCAAGTTCAATCGGTGGTTCAATCGCTGCCATACCAGACTCAGGCCCAGCTGTCCAACTGCTTTCCCAAGGGCATCGACGGGACCTTCCCTGTGCTACGGCCTTGGCATTGGCAGGTTGGGATAGATTGAGCTGAGATTTCGGCGCACAGGTCTGAAGGAGTGCTTCCATCCAACCAAGGCTCAAATCCAACCCTTGGTTTCTCCATTGTTCGCTGCTAGATTCGCTCGATTCGCCGCTTCCCCCCCCGTCAGATGCTCTTTGCTCCCCATCGCCGCTGGCACCTCTAGAGCGCCCGTCGCAGGCACGGCAGCGGCGTAAGATGGTTTCGTGCAACAAACCTTGGTATAAGCATGAAATGATGCTATTTTGATCTATTTTGGAGAGGACATTATTTTGGGATCGCCCTGCTTGGCCTGTAGGCATGCGGACAGCATTGGCCTGAAACTCAAACGTTTGATGAGGTTGCTGGGCCAAAGTAGAACCTCGAAGCTGGCATGCTGTGCAGAAGTCTAGCTGATGACCAATTGTCCCTTGAACAGCGCAAGCCACGGGAGAGGTATCAAAAAAAACATAAATAGGGATCAATAAAAAAATAAATAGGGATCAATAACAAAACAAATAGGTATCAATAAAAAAATAAGTAGAGATCAAGACAACAACAAGCAGGGATAAAAAGAAGCAATAGAGAAGAGAGAAAGGAAAGAAAGAAAGAAAGACAGAACGACAGAAAGAAAGAAAGAAAGACAGAAAGAAAGAACGACAGAAAGAAAGAAAGAAAGACAGAAAGAAAGAAAGACAGAAAGAAATAAAGAAAGAAAGAAAGAAAGAGAGAAGGAAGGAGGGAAAGAAAGAAAGAAAGACACAAAGAAAGAGCGAAAGACACATTCGAAGGTAGCAGACCTTTTTGTGAGCCACCTGGAGGAGGGAAGCGGCCATTCCAAGGTAAGCCTTCCGAGGGCAAAACTTGGAGGAGGAAGGCGTCAGTCCTTTTGTGAGCCGCCCAAGAACCAAATTTAGAGGAGGAAGGAGCCACGCCAAGGTAGCGCGCCTGTGGCTCACAAAGGAGGCAGGCGCCAGAGCGGGCAAGGGAGTTATTTTTTGAGCGCGCGAGTGAGGTGTGTGCATTGGCGTCGTCATAATTCAGTAGGCGGCGCGTGCTGCCGAGATCGCTTACTCAAGTCAGCCAGTGAGTTGCAAGCCAACCCCGACAAAGACTGCTGAAAGTTAGAGAAACAAATATCAAGAACGCCCAGACACAACCAACTGCACACAGCAACATCCAAGCGCGGACCTGTCCTCCAAACTCCCACGAAAACGGCATTTTTGTAAAGGTCCACCACGCTCTATTTTATTGCCCAGCGCCCTACTTCTCCTAATGCCCTTTGCTTGCTACGCCAGCTGATTCTCTTAAGTGTCAGTCGTGCTCCCGAAGTTACTTCGTCCAAAAAATTACTCGCTCACTCCGCCTTGCGGCCATTATATAGGTCTAAGATGCTGCAAATAGCTGCGCGTTGTGCCCCCCTAGATATTGAAAAATAATGAAAACAATTGACAACGAATTAAAAGCCGCGCGCTTCGGTCGCCAGAAAGGAGAGATGCAGCCTTGGTCGCTTTTGTGCTTCTGGTTTTCCCAGGGTTACACCGGACATTATATCGGGTCGAAGAGGCTTGAAGACGTATTTTGCGCCCCGAAAGCTTCCTACATCCTTTGTTATCATAGAGACTTATGATGACCGTGCGTGGAAAAAGATCAGAATTCCTGCTCCGGTCACTGAGCCATTCCCATGTAAATATACCTTTTGTGAGCTTCCCGAGAACGAGCGACAAATTCAGCGGAGGAAGCAGCAAGTCCAGTGTAGCATAGTATCTTCTGTGAGGAACCCGATGCTACTACTGCTCCCACAACACGGCTACGACTACCACGACTACTACTACTACTACTGCTGCTGCCGCTGCTGCTACTACTACTGCTACTACCTACTACCTACTACCTACTACCTCCTACCTGTTACCTACTACCTACTACCTACTACCTAGTACCTACTACTTACTACTAACTACTACTACTACTACTGCTACTACTACCACTACTACTACGACGACGACAACGACGACGGTCACTACTACTGTTGCCACTGCACACATTACTGTTCTTTCTTTGTTGATTCTTGTTTGTTTTGTTTTTGATCCTCGTCTGTCAATTGTTTTTGTTATTACGTCACCAGATTTTGTTTTTTGTTGATCCTTATTAATTTTTCTTTTGATCTCATTGCTTTATTATTATTTTGATCCTTATTTATTTTTTTTTGATCCTTCACCCGGCAAGCCACCTCGTCCCATTGACACACATTTGCATGCGGAGCAACATGAGCAAGATGCCTCACTTGCTGCACGCTGGACAGGAGATCAAAAGCTAGAGGTTTTTGAGAAGTGTCACCTTCCCTGGCACTGCAGCAGGTAGAGACTGGGAGCAGACAAGTGACGGGAAAATTCAGATCTATATATACACGAATGTCAAGCAATTCTTGCATCATCACCGCCGTTCGCGCAATGGAGCGCGCGTTGGGGAGCTGATTGGGAGATGGAATCCGAGTTGGCTACCCGTCAGCACTGTGCATGCAAGGAAGAGCTTTTGTGGGTGATAGATGCGCTATGGTTCTTGGCACTGTGCAGTTTAGAATCGAAGTTTCTCCACCCCCAGATGCCGAAAAAACTACCAGACTTTCAAACTCACACGAAACGCCATTGGAAGGCGATTTTGTTCAAGCAAACTGCATAAGTTGCAGGTAGCAGTAATTTACTGAATTTGTGTTCTTTCTGCACATCAAGTTTCTAGCACAAAAACGAGAGCTTCCCGTTTGAATACCTATGCAGCGTCCCCATCTCTTCACATTTGATCCATTCCAAGATATATTTTAAGTTCAAGCTGGCAGAGATCGGCCAGGTCACCATCATCGGCTTCGGCTCTTTGTTGAGCAAGAGGAGCGCTATGCTCACCACGCCCAGCATGCAGGCAGCTCGCTTGTCATGTGAAGGCAAAGACAGTGGAAGATGCAGCCTTTCTAAAGACAGTGGAAGATGCAGCCTTTCTAAAGACAGTGGAAGATGCAGCCTTTCTAAAGTTCAGGGGGATCATGTTGTTGTTGTTGCTGCTGCGATCAGCTAGTTTCCGGTCCCAACGGATGCAATGTTGCCCACAAGAATGACAAGAACTGGACAGGGCTTCCAGTATGTGAGAGTGAAGGGCTATCAGCGACAATTTGCTCATCCCGCACCGATTTTCTTTGAGCGAGTCTTGACTGAGCTAGAGTGGACATGCAACGTGGGCAACATGCGACATGCGGGGCTCACCACATATGAGCACCGGACGAAATCTGTTATGGTTTGAAGGGTTGGCTGCAAAACAGGTCCACTTGTTACCCTCAGCAAACTTTGTTGGCGGCATCAAGCTTGCTACAGTTTGGCACACCAACAGTGAGGGCACGAACTAAGTAGTGGTCGTATAGGTCAGTGGGGGAGCTGCTTTTCCATGGACACAAACACGTTCAAAGTGGGCATGGGTTGGGGTGTTGGTTAGGCACTGAATGGTACTGCTGCGTTGAGAAGGCTATTCAGTGGTTGGAACATGTTGTAAATTTTTGCAAGTTTTGCAACACGTCTCTTTGAGCCACCGAACGGCAGGGCCACAAAAGGCCGGGCTACTCTCAACACCAGGTAGTGTGTGATGCAGCTCTTCTAAACTACACCCATCAGAGGCACTAACTACCTTTTGTTGGCAATGGTTTCAAATAAAAGCAAAACAAGGCCCTTGGTACGCAGCCAGGCCAGCAGCAACTCCATCATCCAGTTTCCATTGGGCAACAACAATTATTGAATTTAGCTGCAAAACAGGTCCACTGGTGTAAGCAACTCAATCTGAGGAGAGCAACCCGTTCAGTTTTTGTGCCAGCTACAAATTGTAACGTGGCAGTATGATCAGTATGCTTCCTTCAGTGGTTGGTACATCGAAAGGCATCGGTAGACGGGTCGGCCGCCATCGGTTACGCAGGTTTGATGCAGACTTTAGTGTTCGATAGATTTTGTCGGATGCTGATCTATGCTAATATAATAAGCAAGCAGTCAGCAACATCGTTGGTATTTATTTGCGGCTGGGGCCAAAATACCATGGCGCCCTCCTCCATAATAACCATAACTACCATGCATGTCGGTTTGTCATAGTTTTCCAATGGTGAGATACTTCGTTTACGATCGACATACTGTAGACACGCAGCTGGTGGACACTTTCTGATGGATTCAGGAGAAATATTATGGGGAAGTCTGAAATCCAATGAGCACAGATGTAGGATAATGTAGGACCAACTTGGCCATCTCCGAGGCGGGAAGTATCCTGGCATCGCCAAGCCTGAAACGAAGGCAAGTCCGTTCAAAAGCGCAGTGCACGTCAGTGCACTGTCCTTTGGCCTTTGGTGATGCTTTGCTTTCTTCATCTGCATGCATGTCTCGACATCGTGACTTGAGCAACTAGATGCCCAAGAGGGCCTAGATTCTAGATCCTTCAGACACTTTGGACCATACGAGGAGATCGCCTCGCTCTCCACAAGGCAGAGCACTGAGAGCTCCTTCGTGGCCTGTGCATACCAGAAGCTTGGCAGCTATGATTGCTGGATTGTTTGGGGATTGTTTGTCGGCAGACAGCTGAGCCACTCCGTTGGCGTACGTTGGCGTTCACTTCAAGTTGTAGGAGGCTGGGGCTTATCTCTCTCTCACACACACTCACGCGTATAATATACTGTTTGAACAATAGTTATTATACTGTATACAATTATACCGTATAATATCGTTTATAATATATTTTGGTTCGTCCTATTACCTGTAACAGGCAGTAACAATTATAACTATTTTTGAACAAGGCCTTTACTAACCATCATCAGCCACTGTTGCTGGGAATGGGATAGGCCCAATAGATAGATAGATAGATACATAGATAGATACATAGATAGATAGATAGATAGATACATAGTATATACATACGTGTGACTAAGGTGTGGTAAAATCTCGTAAGATCAGAATTGGATCAGCTTTGCCACTCACCATCAGCAACCAAACCAAGGATTCCCAAGTCGGAGTGGGAGCCCCTGGCAAGTCGTGAGGAGGAGTTTGAGCCCGAGTCCCAGTGCCCTACTTGAAGTTTTTTAATGAATGTTGTACCATGCTCCATGACTTTCTTCATTGAACACGCAGAAGCCGTGGCCAATGTTTCCCTTGTGGTGAATGGATGCCCCGACGACTCGTCCAGACGGCAGGTTCATTGAGGCTGCTTTCGAGCCTTTGGAAGAGGGGGGCACCAAGTCTTGGAAGGCAGGACGACTTGCACATGAAGCTACTAGTAACAAAGGGCATCGCTGGTAGGAGCAAGGACGCTACTAGTAGCTCCTGGCCTTACTACTAGGAACAAGAAGCTACGAACGGAGCAAAGGATTTGCCAATGGTCGTCGTTGGTCGTTCCTTGTCCCCTGGACTCGACTAGACGCTGTCAGGAATGTCGGGCTCATGTGCACCAGATCAACGGATGAGAAGTTGAAGACTCTGCCAATCTGGCAGCGCTACGTGCCTTGCAATGAATCGCTGCAGCTGTAAAGACTGATGGAGCTTAAAGGCTTAGCGTTTGCCTGAGGAAAAGTGCTTGAAGCCCTTCAGCGAGGTTAAGGTCTGGAGTTGGGAGCCGGACTCTGGAATTCGTCCATGTCCAGTGCCACTTTGTCAAACATGGATCAACGTGTGACACCTTGAAATGGTGTGATAGCACCTGCCATAAGCATTCTTATCAATCCTTACGATTCAATTCAACTTCACGTTTTGGTTTATTGTGATTTTTTACCCAGGTATTGCCGACATTGTGTCCTGGCAACACAGAAAGAAGGACCTGCATCCCACACGTCTCTCACATGCGGTTCCAAGGTCCAACTATAGGCGTGCTATTTATCGACGTGCTAGGCATGCTTCTATCTTTAGAGCAAGCCTCTTATTTGCAGGCTGCGAGGAAACGTTTCATAACAAAGTTTAGGCTTCAGCAGAACTAAAGCAGAAGCCATCCTTTTCCCACAATCATCCGATATATATATATACACACTATATTATCCTCTTTGCCATGATTGCTTTGTTTGTTTTCATTTTTTGTTCTTGACCGAGCGACCGTGAGGAGTTCCAGACTACGTGTCCAACAGCTTTTTGGATGAGACCTTCCTGGTGGATGGGAGCCCTGGACAGAACAATACCTCATGGTTCCGGAACCTGACAGGCTTTTCACAGAACAGGCACATTCTCGTGAGGACAGACACGCCAAAAATTCCTGTATCCATGTGACCGGATCTTTGGGATGCTGAACGGGTCCCAAAGTAGCAGGGGGGGAAGTGGATTTGGGTTGCCCGGTGCGCTTTGAAACCAAGACGCATCCCTAGAGGCTTTAGGATCAGCCAGGGCCCGTCAGACGACCCTGTCGGGACCTGTCAGGAAGACTACGCTTCGAGAATACTTGGAGAAGAACCCTCACGTCATGGCAAGTGAGCCCCCGGAGGAGTTGCTTGAATATATTATATAAGTACTACTACTACTATGGAGAATCTATTGCCTTTGCTGCAGTGCTTTTCGAGACACATGGAGTCACTTCAGCTTGGATGAATCTTGGAGACTTGAAAAACAATTCGTTTCCATGAATGTGGAGGTCGTTGCTGGGGCTGAGGTTTCGGGAAAGATACAGCGGATGACTGCCATGACTTCTATGACCCGCCAGCAGAAAATCCTGCTACCAGATGCTACCGGCCACCCAAAGCATTCGCAAATATCTCAAGTGATGGACAATAATAAGTGCACTGACCGAGCTTTGGCGGTCAATTTCGCCAATCTGTCGAAGCCTTTCTTCATCCGCAGGTTTTAAGCTTCGAGACCCCCAGCCCTTTTGAAATCATGGCGCTTAGGTTGAGCGGTCTTCGTGCTGCACGCAGGCTGAGGAGTTTGCATTTTGTACCTGGTGGATCCCAGAAGTTTCTTGACAAGGCACTGGCGTCACGTGCTGATGCCTTGATCATTGACTTGGAGGATTCTGTCCTGCCCGCTGAGAAACCTGCAGCACGGGCAGATGTCGCCAGGTGGATGAGCTCCATCCAATGGGGCCAGAAGACAGTGTGTGTACGGATCAATCCGTTGGATACGTCGCTTTGGGAGGAAGACGTGGAACTCACCATGAAGGCTGAGAAGCCTGACATGTTGGTGGTCCCCAAAGTTTCTAGCCGTGACGAGCTGGAGAAGTTGGGCGAGAAACTCACGGAAATGGAGCGGAAGTTGGGTAGAGAACTTGGGCGAACCACTTTGTCACTTTGCAGTGTGAACATGTCGTTTTCCACCTCTGAGAAGATTTGTGCAAAGACACACTCAAGAAATTGTGGCAGTCTTTTCAATCTGATAGGAGGGACTACCCAGTACCGACTCCTTCCCCAGCTTTGTCTTCGGACAGTGAAAACTGATATAGGCTACTCATGAAGATGTAAATGTCATCGATCAATCCTGAAGCTTTCTTTGCACGTCGTACGCGGTACTTTCTGATTTGATGTCATCACAGCCACACTGTGTCTTTTTTTTGATGTGAGGAAGCATTGACTTGGGGAAAGGGAACACATGGGAAAAAACTCACGGTCACCTGCATCGAGGTTGCCCATCGTCAGTGAGGTGCCCGAGGCACCCTTGCGTGCGAATGAGATAGCTCGACACCCACGGGTTGAAGCGATCACCTGGGGTGCTGAAGACCTCTCAGCTGAGCTGGGCGCCAAGCGGCGTAGAGATGGGGCAGGGGAATACTTGGAGGCGGACTTTGAGTTTGGACGTAGGGGATGTTCACATTGTGCCAATCCACATGTAGAGAGCAATGAGCATACCTAAATACAGAGCTTGGTGGCAGTTTGGGAATATACTATATATGTTGGAAGGATATAGTCGTAGTATAGCATAGGAGAGGTGTTCCTCAACTGCAAACGGGACATGTTTCTTCCTCACGTGCAGGTCTTTCAGCTTTGCCGCAGCCTCACGCTGTTGGCCGCGAAAGGCGCTAAGGTGCAAGCGATTGATGGTGTGTATACCAGCCTCAAGGATCTTGATGGTTTGAGGCTGGCCTTTGGTGGGAGGGGAAATGATGCAGTCAGCGTGCTTTGAATCTTGCGAAGCCGCTGTTGGGTCGCGCAGGGCAGAGAGTCAGAGGTCCGCTGACACTGGCTTTGACGGCAAGCTCACAATACATCCAGACCAAATTGATGTGGTGAATGCCGCCTTCTCACCGACTAGCAAGGAGGTTGCAGAAGCACAGGAGCTCCTAGAAGCTGCCAAGGCGCAGCCAGGAGCTTTCCGGTTCAAGGGGCAGATGGTCACCCGGTGCCATTAGCTTTTTGCATTGAACATCATCGAACTTTCCGAAACTCGCATAAAGCATTATTAAACTGCTAATGCAATTCTGCTGCAATCCTTTGAAATTGCACACCCAGGTCGACATCCCCCACTTCAAGCAAGCCCAGCGCATTTTAGACCGGGCCGACTTGGCTGGACCATCAGCCCCCGCAAAGGAAGCACCGGTCGGGCCGATTCACGGGAAGTGGCTTGAGGAGTTGACAGAAGGCTTGGTGATTCCTCATGCGCTCACTCGCACTGTCACCGAAACGGACAATGTGATGTTTACCACGATGACGCTGAATCCTGCAAAGCTTCATTTGGACTACGAGTCTGCTAAGGAAACTCAGTTTGGAAAGCCCTTGGTCAACAGCATGTTCACAGTGGCCTTGTTGGTAGGCATGTCTGTGCTGGAGACGACACACGGCACAACGATTGCCAACCTGGGCTTTGAAGAGGTTCTCTTTCCCCGACCAGTCTTCTTTGGCGACACTTTGCGAGCCGAAACCCAGGTGATCAAAAACCGCCCCAGTGAATCCAATCCCTCTCGAGGAATTGTAACTTTTGAACACCGAGCCTTCAATCAGCAAGGCCAGCTCGTTTGCAAAGCCAGGCGTAACGCCATGATGCGAAAGCGGCCATCCAATCTTTAAAGGCTGAAGTTTCAGCTTTGGCTGCGCATCACGTCGACCTCAGTGGTCTTCATGTAAGACATCAGTTATCATCAGTTAGTCTCCGGAAAGAACACGGAGAGAAATGAGAGAGAGAGAGAGGCGATGTGGGTGATTCTTCATTTGTGCCTGTGCAAGCTTTGACTGGATCATCAACATGTGGAGTTTGGAGTTTCTGGATGCAGTCAATGCAACTGCCCGGCCCCGGCCTCACAACACAAGGCAGCCTCCAGAGACGGCAGAGTCTGTGGACCTCTCCAGGTTCGCCCAAAAATGTTTTTCACATCAGCCAAACAATACCTGGACCTAGTCTTTAAGGTTTTGACCTTCCTGAAGTGAGAAGTCATCAACTCGTTTCTGGCCTCACTTCTTTGGGGCACTTGTGGAGCCTGCCAGGCGCTCCTTGTCTCCGGGCACGCGGACCTTGAAAAAGCGTAACAGTCGCCTTGGCGAAGGCGATGGGCTGAACTAAAAGAGGTAGTTCCTGATGATTTTCGCTGCGTGTGTTGTTTCTGCAGGACATCACACCAAGGCTACAGAGTGACTTTCACGCATGGATTTGCCGTGATTTAGTTTGTTTGACTTCCAGCTTCGGAGAGCTTCGAGTTGATTCGCAGCTCATGTTTCACTCTGAGGAAGTCCAACCGGCTCTGGGCCGATCGGTCGGAGGCCAGTTCTCATAGAAGCTTGATGGTGAAACATGGTCAAACCCGGTGTGGCTTAAGGCGCAAGCCACCAAAAGTAAACAGAATGTTGTTTTGTCATGTTTTGTCATGATTTCCGTCTTTGTTGGAGTGGAAGGCGCCAAGACCCAAACTCGCAGAATGGGCGAGAGTGTTGGCGACCTAGCCATGACGCTGAAAACTGGTGACACCTGGAACATCCTAACAAAGTGGAGAGCAATGAGAGATCAATTTACTTAGCCAACCTACTAAATGAATTTTCTTTTATTTCACATTCAATATCCACAATACCGTAACATAATAGCAATGAAACTGTTTTGATCCATTTGGGGTACCGCAATCCCGATTGGGAACTAAGGCAAGCAAATCTCAAACCCAAAGCGACCTGTGCACCAGCTGCTAGACACCCAGCACTCCCAGCACTCCTGGATCAAAATGTTGGTTTAAGCGGTTGCAGCACGCAAAACAGTGAGGCGCGAAGGTGGGGGTCAGATCGAAGCCCTTCTCCTTCGGCTGCCTCTACAGGCATGGAATTTCCGCAATGGCTAATGTGCAAGGTGAATGTGCAGAGCACAATGAGAAAGATGGGACTGCGCTGAGGCCCCTCCACTGCCCATTCGCTCCTGTCTCCTGGTTACCTTGATCGGATGAGAGAAAAAAGTGCAAGTGCAAGGTGAGGAAATCGTGTCGCTATGCCTTTCCTCCAGCGATTCTTTCAAAGGCAGGCTTGCCCAACATCACCTGCTCAAAATCCACGGACTCGGGCGTCACGAGATGTGGCCATTCAGGACAGCTTTAGCATGCTTTGGCTTTTGTAAATGTTGCGCCCCATCCACCTGCTGACTGATGACTTATTCTGGCCCTGTCAGCCCATTGCCCGTGCAGGCCCAGAGTTGTATCAGCACCATGGCTAGCTGGGGATTGCAACTCAGAAGTTTGGACATCCAGATTCGGCAGATAAGCCCAGGTGACACCGAGATAAGTCGATTGGATACGCCCAGGTGACACGGAGGTGGGAAGATCTGAGACTTGCGTCTTTACAGCGCCGAGTCTGCCTCTTGGCGTGGTAATGCAATGCATTGCACTGCTGTGCATGTTCAACCGTTAATAGCGATATGATACAAATAGCAGTGAGCCAAGGAACGTTCCCCAGATGAGAGGTCCTCCATCCAATACTGACAGTGCGGGCATCAAGCTTGGGAGGCCTGATTCTTTTTTTACTGTATTTCTTACGTGCAGGTAAAAGAAAATAAAAGAAAACAATTTTGATTGTTTTGATATTAAATTGTTTTATATTCAAATTTGATTAAAATTGATGTCAAGCCAAATTGTCATTAATGTTGATTGTGTCGTGAAGGTTACGCGGTGCTCAGACTCAACGGCCATCGCGCGACTCGGAAGCTCCCGAGAGCCCCAGTTGGTGGCCATCACCCGGGATGCGGCTGGCGTCACCGGTGAGATCGCAAACAAAGAGTGACGACATCTCTCCGGAGCGTTCACCAGCCCTGGCCCTGTCCAGAGCCAAAGGAGCTTTGGGAAAGAGGCAGCTTCAGGCGAGAGCTTCAGGCGCATCCACCTCGGACATCGCGTCGAGGCTTCGGCATAGTGAGCCAGTGGTTCGTCAGGCAGCAGTAGCAGCACTGGGTGCTCTGGGAGATGTGGAGCAGGCTGGTCAATTAGCTAAGCTGCTGCAGGACAGCGATGCAGGTGTTCGGAAGGCAGCGGCTCTCGCATTAGGTAATTTGGGGCAGTCAGCAGCGGTCTACACAGATGCACCTTGCTCATCCTTTCTCCAAGATTTATGATCGATCGGCTTTCTACTTGTTATTTATTGGTTGGAACACGGAGACATAATTGTCAAGGTTTGAAGCAGGGATGGCAGTGATGAGTACCAAAGGGTCTAGAGTAGACACAGCTTTGCAACATGTTTAGCAAACCGATCTACAAAGTACAAATTAAATGCTGGACGCACACTTCATGGTTGATGCGCAATTGCAGCACCAAGATCAATTAAAATGACATTAATGAATTAGTGTGTCCTCAGTGGGCGCACATATCTCCCCCAGCATCTCCTCCCACTTATATACTGGTTGTGCGTTCTTAACGTTTGTTTCAAATCTTTGATGGGCATGATCCAGTATCAACATACCACAAGACCTATTTGTGACATCATCCTAGGCATTGCTTTCAGCTTCTCAGCATGACTATGATGATGATGTTCGCTTCCATGCGGCTGTAGCATTGGGAATGCTGAAAACGGCTTTGCATCACTCCTACGGCTAGGTCACCGCGGACGTGTAACTGTAACTTTGAAGAGGCGGCGGCGGAACCTCGAAAAGGGGACTTGAGACGCCTCTTGTAGATGTTCTCTCAATGTAGAACAAGTTAATGACCAAGTCAACGTATCCCAACGTCGGCTGGCCAGAGTGTGGCCAACATGTTTCACCAAGACATATTGCTTGCAGCTGCAGCTGTGCAACAGCCATGCAGAAAGCTGAGTCACTCATATTTTTCAACAGAGTTTGTGGGTTCATCGTGGCTTCCTGGTTTGTTTGTTTTTTTGTTGGGCTGACTGCCCGCATCTGAATTCATTTTGCAGCATGCTCAAGTGTGAGACTTAAAGCAAGGTCAGCAAATCGGAAAACACGTTCCACCGTTCCACCATGCCCGAACCACGAGGCCAATATGCAAGAAACCACATGACGTCACATAGATTTGATGGGGACTTAGTCAATTGACGACACAGCAAGTTGTTCGTAGCTGGAGCGGAAACGAAGATGCTTTTTGCTGCTATGGCGGTCGATGTGTGCGCAGGGCCAGAAGGAAAAGAGGCGCCCGGAAGGGCACTCGTGGCTCGGGAAGAACATTCAGCAGGAACTTTTGGACGGAATTAAGATGAACTGATCTCAGATATTTATTGAGAGTACGACGCCCTGGAGGTGTGTGTTTTTTTCAGTGCTTTTTGCGTTTTTCTATGATTTTCAATAGATTTTCTATGTTTTCGTTGCATTCACCCATCTGGTACACATCACTTGTGCCCATAGCCTGCTGCCCCTTTGCCATGATCTTATCAACAGATTTCCTCATCAAGCTTTTAAACACATAGCTAAAGTCTGTATTTGTCAATTGCATCATAGCCGTCATCTTTGGAGGAATGATAGACTGTAGCTGATGGGCTGCATACATCTTCTTGTATGTATCATCGCTAAATGAAGCAGCAAAGCAATCCCTCTGATAGATGGATACTGGATACATCCTCCCTTGCTTTGCAATGACCCATGACATAATGATATTGTCCTGATTGGAGGATGGTTGGGAATAAACATCATAGTGCTCCAACAATTGAGGATGACCCCTCCTGATCTTGACCCATTGCTCCAAAGCCCTCCTGGCACTCTCTCCCTTCCTATGCAGCTTGATGTCTCCCAAATAGTTAAATGATTCATCCTCAATCCACCTGCCTTTGTGATCAATGTTGTCCAATCTTGCATGTTGCCCAGGTACTATGAGCGCCCCCCTTGCCCACATGTCCAATGGGGTCCTCATCAGGGTTGAGGAAATTGCTCACCAGCTGATGGGCCTCAAAGGTAATCCTCATCTTCTCAGTTGCTGAGTCCGTCATGATAGTCAAATGAGCTCTTCCCCCACCCTTTTGATTCTGAGCGGTCACCAATTGCCAATCTTGCTTCCTCTGATCATCCAATGCCTCAAGGTCCTCATTGGGTTCCTGTCTCATGGGCTTGTTGGTTCAGCTCATCTTGAAGGTCCCTCCCAATCTTTTTGATGGTCTTCCCATGTGTCCTGGTCTCATGGCCTGCAAATACAGCCTTAGTTGATCCCTTTTTCACCCATACAGGAACCTGATCTGAGAATCCAAGCATACATTCAGGCTTTGCCACAAATTCCTTCAGATCTTCATGCCCCATGGGCGCAAGGCTCATGATACAGTCATGGTGGTTCCATGCCAATTCTGCTGAAATCTGCGGCTCCTCATTGCTCAAGGGCGCATATGTTTGGCACCAATAGCATCCATAAGCATCTTGACCCTCTTTTCCCTTTGCTTATACCCCTCTTTGATGCTCTTCATTTGGGATTCAGCCCTTTCCAATTGATTGATACAAAGAATCTTCTGGGGCCCATCTTCCAGCTCATCCCTTTTCTCCTCAAGCTTGACTTTCTTCACTGATAGCAGCTGAAAATATTTCCATGCAAGATCCATCTTCTGCACCCCATGCCCATAACTCCTTTCCCTTTCCAACCATGTCTTAACCTCACCAACCAAGTGGGGGAATTGTTGCTTGGCACCCCCGCCTGATGCACTGACTCTCATGTGGTTCCCACCTAATGCTTTCTTCCCTTTGCTCAATCCACTCCTTTGCGTTCTCTCATCTGCTGTTGTGCTTTGCTGATGCTTCAGAATCTCTGTCTCCCATTTGGATCTTTCAGCATAAATCCCCTTCAACACATGAGGTCTCATCAGGATTGTCCTATTCCATTTCGTTGCGCATTTTCCTTTCTGATTCTTGAGTATGCTCTCCGTTTCGGGGGGGGGGTTGACCAAAAAAAATGGTGCTGCCTCAAATCAAGGCCACCATTTTTTTTTGGGGGGGGGGGGCCGCCCCCCCCCCTCTGGGAAACTGTGCGGTCCATGTCGGCGACGCTGGCGACATTGCGATGTCTATGCGATGTTTGCTACTGTGATGTGGCGCGTGATGTGACAGTATCCTCCTACATTTTATCCTTAAATAAGAATACCTCCAGCGCATAGATAGTAAATTCGTAAGAAGACTAGAACACTGGGAAAACAGACACCTCCACAACGTCGTGTTCTGTATTTATTTGCTGTATCAAACCTGGCATTTTCAAGGTCAGGGTGGCCGGCGGCCTGCGGAGCAGAAACTGCTCAGCTTTGACTTATGTGTTGAGAAGACCTCGGCTGAGGAAAGGCTGCGATTTCAATCGGTTGCCAATGACTGACCAAGCTACTCACACAATTTAACCGAACATCACATAAGCTTCCCGTCTCCCGTCGACTTGGTATGTGCCGCTAAGGATGAATAAACATAACAAACGCACAAGTTGATACATTTTGTGCGGTGTGGACGCAGAGCGGTCCCCAAGTTCTATCGAAACCACTAAGCTATTAGGACAGAAGCGATTAAGATGCCAGAAAAAGATACTATTAAAGACGTCAAGCAAACTCTTAGGAAAAGTTAGCAAGGTTTTTGCACATGAGCAACTACACACTAATTAGTTTTCACCTAAACTCCAGGTCTGGTGAAGCCAAAGTGATTGTGTTTGTCATTGAAGCCACCACCCCTGCACATGCAAAGAACATGTGGCTGATTCTCAGATGAGCCTGGTACTGCAACAGGTTAGGAGGTAGACACTCTTTCACTGCCTCGGAAGTCGAGCTCAATCGTGTGTGCTCCTTTGGAGTTGGCCAACGACCTGCATGATGCCACCTGCCAGCCAAAATGATATATATAGGTATACATACGTGCGCACTGCCCTAATACAGGGAACTTGGAAACTTATTGCATCACACGGAAGGCGTCTCGGAATCTGCTGCTACCGTTTTGGAGGTGTTTGTTGTATCAGTGTTTTTTTGTTTTATTGTCGGTCGTTTTTCCCCCAAGGTTTTTCACCATTGTTGGGAGCCTGGAGGATCTGAATGAGGATGCGCAGCAGAACTTTCAGCCAAAGCTCTTGACCTTCGTCTTGAAGACCTTAGTCAAAGCTCCTGACTTGGAAGCTGCAACCTCTTTGGTCCCGAGCCCTTTGAAAGCGAAATTGGAGGCCTGGTCTCCAGCGGGGCCTGAGGTATAATTACTATGCCTGGTTTTTGCATGAGCGGGAATACTAGGGCGCGGCACACAGTTCACAATGAGCAGGAATACTAGGTTGCTGCCTGACACCAAGAAGCCTCGCAAGAGAAGAAAGCCCTAAACAGCCCTCCTTCGAAAACCACAAACCTTTACTGTAGAAGCCTTCAACTGTTTATCATGAAATGGAACTTGTGCTAGGTCGTGTGTACTTCAATGTTGTTGGCATCCACTTTCGATTACGAGAGTTTCAAACAAGAGCAGGACGCCTGTGTCAACCCATAATTCTCTGTAAGATTAACATCCACGAATAGCATATGAATGATTCTTGTTCCTGCTCTTGAGCAAATATTCAAAAGCAGTGCTCGGGTTGTTTGCGATCCTATGTGAGACATATTCAATGAAGGCCTTGCTATGACCGCTCTTCACTTGTCGTTTTACTGAGATGACCTGACATTCCTTCCTTGTTGCTTTCCCCTGGCTGGCTAGTAATTAATTGCTTATACCGTTACTGGTCTATTCTCAATTTTTCCTCTTGCGTGATCTTTGCTTTGTTGTGCTGGCCTTTGTCTATGCCACATGCAGCCTCACTTGGGTTTCAATCAGTGAACAGTTACCCGTTGCGGTGGGCAATGTTGCATCCGATCACATATATATATATATATATGTTTGTGTGTGCCTAGCATAGATGCACCTTTGACAATTTGAAGCAGTTTTAGAACCTGTTGGTATTTATCATTTAGCCGTGCTTCCAGTCAAGGTTACAGAGCCAGCATGAGCACATGCGGAAGCGTGGGCCGCTGGCAGCAAGCATGGAACCTTTTGAGCTACAGCCTGCGATTGGAGCTACGTGTGAATTAGCATTCTGGCAGCAAAGCCGGTGAGGGCTTCAACGTGCATCAAGACAAGAATTTCATCACTGAAGTACTGGGTTCGTTGACACCTTGGTTTACACATCCAGATGAGCATAAATATATATATATATAATTATATACAAGTGACATATAAATACACTACATACAAGATTTAATATCTGGTTTGGATTGATGTCGTGCTTGCAATGCGATTTCTCCGGAGATTCCTGCGCCCACCTTGCTATTGAGGATTACGTACAACTTGGCCATCAGTGCATGCGACCTTTTCGGTTGACCTCAGGAGAAAATGGCACATGAGCCAACATTGAAAGCACTGACGAAAGTGAAATGCACATTGGGCATGGGTTGGCGCTGCAATTTTATGTTGATATGCGCATTCTGTGCAGTTTTCGGATGAATATGAGTATGAGCCACTGGCCAGCATGTAGTATAAGAGTATGAAGCCACTCAAGATACAGAACCATCCTCGTAGAAGTTCCAGATGGCTTGATAAAGGTTGATAGATGCTTGCTTTGTTCCTAGTTTGTTTCCATTCTTCACCTCACTGGAGCAGATTCACCAGTTGTGTTTAAATGCAGCGCAGTCACAACAAGCAGAATGAGTCATGAGCCTTGTTGGGCGGGCTTGCACCACTGGTGCAATTGTCCTGGTTGGAAGCTTAGTTGAAGGGCGGTGGGCAGCACCGTGGCCTGCCCTGGGGTCCAGAACATTTGGATGCCCAAAAGCAAACACGACTGCCACTCAAATCGCCTCTTATGCACCCCCTCCACCTTTTGCAACATTTGACCAGCTGAGGCTACGCTTGTTTGGCATTTGGGTCAGCCAGTTGAGTGCCAACTTGACTAGGTCGCACCAGGCCATGCAATAGATAGAGCAGTCCCATATTCGAGGTACACCTTCCTACTTGCAACCTTCGAGGATGCAGAGGCAGCCAGCTGTGTGAAGGTCAAGCTATACAACTGGCATGGTGTCAAGGCATACCAGAAGCATTTTTGCAATTCAAAGCTGTTACTTGGTGCCGGCTCGCAGGACTCTGCCCTATCGGCAGCAGAGGTTTGTGAGTGGTTGCCGTGTGTCACCTTGCTGCCCTGTGGGCCAAGTCGGATTTGTCACGCATTCCACAATTTCCTGCATCGGAGGCATTTCGGAACGCAGCTCTTCCGTTCTGTGCCTAACCGGGCAGATTGGAGAAGGTCAATTGTTGGTGATCAGTGATCATCACACTAACGCTTACCCATGGAAGGCGGCACAAAGAACCAAAAAATCGATGGCCTTCCGTTTCTTCATTTGTTTTGATGTCAGAGGCCAGAACTGCTTCGCAAGCTCAAGGGTCCTGTTTGGACCAGTGATGCCAAAGGAGAAGGCTGGGGCCTTTTGGGAGACTGAAGAGACGATTCAGTGCATGCGTGGGGAAGCCTTGATAGATTTCTTGAGACTTTGGACGCCTGAGCCCTTCTGGGTTTTGACAGTAGTCGCCCTCCTTTTGGATGGGCGCCTGGAAGACTGGCTGCGGAATCCGCAGTATGTCCTGGAGGCCGTGCAGCTACCAGTGCCATACGTCCATAGTGTCCATCACAGCTGACAATGTCGTTCATGTACACGAGGACGTGACACGCCGAACTGCACAGATGAGATACGGTACCTTTGAGGCAGGCACAACTCTGCCAAGCACCATGTCATGCAGTTTGTTTTTTGCCAGGACGTTTGCTGCTTTGGGACTGGACACCTGGTACGAATGGCAAAGCGCTTGCAGCGGTACTGGAATGATTGGGTGCGCCAATTCTCAAACCTGCATGGAATATGTGCGCAACTGGAACCATCCATCCTCTTGCCTCCTTTCCATGCAGGTGGCCCGCACCTGGACTGCCAACGTTCAATTCTCACAGGACATTTGGCGAAGACGTTGAAACTGTTCGAAGATTTGCATCCGCAGAAGGATTTGCTGAATTTGTCCATTTTGCCTGGGCTTTTTCGGTACAGCTTGCAGGTATTCGATTCAATGTGTGGAAGTAAGACTCTAAGCTTCCTTCAGATTCCTAGTATGAAAAGTGCAAAGTAAGGTCCGGTCTAAACATACGCATTGCCGGGCTATGTCTATAAATGTCTACTGTATATATAATAAAGATGTTCAAAGTAAATGTTCATTTGCGCGGAGTTGTTCAAACGAAACTGACACTCGAGTTGCAGCTTGCTGCCTTCCAAATATTGCAAGCCGAGCGTGCCCCTTGAGCAATGAGTGATGCGGTGCAAAAGCCGCAAACTTGTCCAGCGCCCAGCGCCGCTTGCATTTCCTGCCGTGTACAGCTAAAGATGAGCTGAGATCGCTCAAGTAAGGCCAAGATTAGACCGGCCTGGCAACGCAACGACCTTGGGCGTTGTAGGTTCAAGAGCGTCCATAGTTTGGTTGGGTGATAGTGCAATTGAAGCTAGGAACTATTCAAGAACAACCCACCGGCCTGAAATGGGTGAAACCTGGTGAAACGCATGGCACATCCATGCACATCCTGGTGCCGTTTGCCGTACTGGCTCACAAGATGCCTCCATTGAGCCCTGGGGATGTAGGCAATATGCCTGCCCCAGAGCGACTAGGTGACCAGTGACTGGTCGCTTGTTTGCACCTGCGTGTCACAAAACCTGCTTGTTTTCACAGTGCATCGGTCTCGTCGTCGGGCCGCCAAGGTGAATGGAGGGCACCAACGCCATTCGGTGTCACTTGGCTGAGCCGAGTATGCCTTGCGTGTTCTTTGGGTCCGACAGGCTAAGGCTTAGGATGAGCGCTTTTTGGAAGTCTCTGGCATGCTGTGTTCACATAGCACATTGTTATTTGGGGGGGCCCTGCACACACCTCATCCTCATTCCCCAAACAGCTTTGCTGTGAGGGGTTCTGAATTCTTGCATAGAAACGATCTTGGGCCAAAATGATTCTGCTGTACCTTCTCTTGTCTCCCTTTGTCACCCATGGCTCTTCTTAGATGCTGGGCTGAGATGATTTTGCTTTGCCTCCCTTTGTCTCTCATGGTTCTTCTCCAGCCCTTGTAGATGCTGGGGCATGATTCTGCTTTGTCTCCTGCTGTTGCCTCCTTGGTTTCCCATGACTCAAAACTGGCAGCAACTTTAAGATTCGCCGGCAAAAAGAAACATCAAGCTGCCGCTGCTGTTTGGGGGCGATGCTTGTGCAGCTCCCCACCTGCCAGGTGAGGGTTGTTAGACTTTATATTGATTTTATGACAGCTGCCCTCTCCTGCACCTCTTCTCCTCGTTGCCGCCTCCACAAGTACCAGATTGCAGTGAGCACCGCCGGACCTGAACCAGAGAGAAAGGATGTCAGCAGCTTTGCCAGGTAGAAGAATGCCAGAATATATGCTTTATGGAGTGCCAGACAAATATGCCAGATATACTGTCATAATTTTAAAAAAACAAGCATGTAAGAAACTGCCACATAGAATGCACGAATCTATGCCAGATAGAATTCCAGGACATGTGCCAGAGAGAATATTATCAGAATGAATGCCAGGTATAATGTCAGAAAATATGCCAGATAGAATGCCTGAACACACACCAGGTAGAATGCCAGCCTTTGCAAGATAGACACCATCTTGGTGATATTGAAGCAATATATGGTGATGTATGGTGATGTTGAAGCGAAGCAATATAGCTGTCGGTTAGCCGTTGGTTATTAGCAAGGTAGAATGCCATGGTGGGAATCGCTCCGAGTTCACCACCTTGTCAATGTTTTCGCAACACTGTCATTTCCGCAACGTTGTCATTGAAGAGTCGTGTGATTACATTGGGGTGGGGTTGGGTGGCCACCATAGCAGATGCAAAACATGGTCACCCGCTGTGCAGCACAACTAGGCGGAGGTGGCTGTGAGTCGTGTTAAGACAGGCCGCAAGAATCCCCCAGTTTGGCCAGCGCCCGGAAAACAAAAGCCAGCAAGCTGGGCTAGCTTTGGTCGAGAAGGAATCTGGATCTTTAAATTTAGGGTAATGTACTCAATTATATATATTGGTTTTTGACGCGTTACCTGTAACAGTCAGTAGTAAGCCGTTACCACTATTTTCGCGAAAGGCTTTTACTGACCATCATCACCCACTGTTACTGGCAATGGGATACTGTATTTAAAACCAACCAACCAAACAAACACACATACATAAATACATACATACACAAACAAAGACAAAACCGGCCTGGGTGCGAGAAAAGGCAGCCTGTCCGAAACCCGGCGTTGGGCAATGAAGTTTGCATGTGAAACGTCGCTGCTACTAATGGGTCAGCCCTAACCCCGCCGAAGCGTGGTTTTCGGATGACTTGACAGACCTCACGCCAAGTTGCCCTCCGCAAGTGGGATGAAGACTCCTTGCTGCGTGCATGGTTTGACCATTTCGACACTTAGCTGCGAATAGCAGGCAATTGCGGTGTGTAACCATGCGTTGGTGACTATTCTCTCCACATTTCAGTCCTGGTGTTTCTACCATAGACTGAACTCATCGACTTGTGTTTCATCCAAGGATGATGATCGCAATGGTTTCTTAGCCGCCTGGTTTGCACAGGAAACCGGGACGGTTTGCACAGACGTGGTTCAAAGGGACGTCGCCCAGGGCCGAGAACGACCGAGGAAAAGGATGACTTTTTGTTGGTCAGCGACCAGATCACTCGTGGAGACCCGTGGCTATGTTGCAATTGGTGAGCATATGTAAGCCATTGTAAGCCCTCATATGTTGTACCTGGCATTATGCCTATATATATAATATATGTATATATTATGTGCAAGCACGGTTCAAGGATCAAGTGAGTTCTCTTGGATTACACTGGGTTTGTGAATGCTTTTTCGATATGTTCGATGCAACGCGGCGTTTTTGTGATCCTTGGGCACCGCTTCTCCAGCCTCCAGGTATGAGCTGTGGGCCAACCTTGACTATGACAAGACAGGATACGTCAGCCTTCGGGAGATCAGTGAGGCCTGCACACTGACTTCGGCAGTTCACAAACGTGCCAACTCTCCCAAGCTGTTCGAAGCTGATTCCGAGGAAGATGCTCGTTTGTGGTTTGACTTTAAAGCTTGGTGTGGATCCACCTTCAATGGCACGTTCCTGAACTGCAGAAGAAGCTTTGGTGGCTTTGTTTTGAGGCTTTTGTGGGCTTTCAGATATACTTTTTCTCTTCAATCGCTCAGGAAGGACATGATGCTGCAGATCCTGGGTACCGGTGCTGAGGAACAAAGGCAGAAGCCAAATACTCGCAGTGTCTTGGCTTCACGGCCGCCCAATCGAACTAAACTTTGCAGCTTTGGCTCATTTTGGCTCGATGTACACAGCCCGTCACCGCTTTCACACCTGAGGAAAGCTCTTCGGCTTCAGGACGGGTGGAACCTCCTTGTCCCAACTCACTGGCATGATTCATACACTTGATGTGCAA